TTCTCGAAATGTATTGTTTAAATTGAAGAGAAAAAGAAATGTATCTCAGTTCAAGATGATTTTTTTTCCATAGAAAGTAAAGATCCTGCTAAAGATGAAGTAATATGTGATTCAAGTGATGTAGAATCCAGAAATCTTGAAGAAAGTCATGAAGAAATTACTAGGCAAAAGAAGAAATATAAAATTACCTGTAAAGTTGAATGATTACTTTGTGTATGAAGCTAATGTGGCAACTCTTGATACAGTAACAAATGAGGATATAACAACATTGCCAAAAGAAGAGAAAGTCGTATGGAGGAAAGCTATGGATGAGGAAATAGCTTCTCTTAATAAAACTGAAGTGTTGAAGTTAGTCAACTTCCCAAAGGATGAAAAGCCAATATCCTGTAAATGGGTGTTGCGTATCAAAGGAAACAATGTTTACAAGGCTAGACTGATTGGTCGTGGCTTTGAACAGAAGCCAGGCATTGATTACTTTGAGACCTATGTTCATGAAATTAGTACATCATCACTTTGACTTGTGCTGGCTATCATTATTCAAAAGAATCTTGAAATCTGTGCATTAGATGGAAAGACTGCATTTCTGAATGGTGATCTCCAAGAAACAATCTACATGGAACAACCAATGGGCTACAGTGACAACAGTGGTTGTGTGTGCAAGCTTCTCAAGAGGCTTTATGGACTTAAGCATGCACCGATGCAGTGGTTCAAGAGATTTACTGATTTTATAATTCTGTTAAACTTCCAACAACTTAACTGTGAAGCATGTACTTTTGTAAGAAGAACTAAACAGAGTGAAATATTTATTGTGCTGTATGTGGATGACTTGCTTATTGCTGGTTCTAATGATTCAGAGGTAAGAATTATGATTGAATTAGTACTTAGAAATGAATTTGAGATGTCCAAGGCTGAAGTTGCTAATGAATTTCTTAAGAATAAGTTTTGAATATTCACAGAACAACTTACTTTAGGACAAAAGGCTTATGTTGGAAAATTGTTAAATAGATTTAGAATATTAGCTTGTAGCCATCTGATACTCCTCTAGTACCTAAGTCAACTTCCATCAAATTTTGTGAATGGTGAAAGATTTTCATGGCCTTTATCGCAAACTTGTAGGTACCTTGCTGTACTTATCTATGACAACTCGTCCTGATAGTCTGTATTCTGTGAACAGTCCAAGTCAGATACAAGAGCAACCCACTAACACTGCTTGGGCAGGTCTGAAGCGAATTCTTTCGATATTTAAAAGGGACATCTGAACTCAAATTATTATTTTATAAATCTAATAGTGTTGATATTATGTTAATGTTTATGTGTGCTGATTGGGGGTCAGATACAATGATAGAAAAATCTATTTCTGGGTATATTATTTTCTTTAATGATTGTCCTGTAACTTGGTCTGTTAAAAAGCAAACATCTACTGCTCTGTTCCTCTACTGAGGCAGAAATTTTGGCTTTAGCAAAAGCTATTCAAGAACCTAAGTGTATTTTATAATGTATCTAAAGAAATTTTAGGAGTCGACAACATTAAAGTTTCAGTTTATGAGGATAATCAGTCTGTAATTAAAACAATATTAAATGAACGTAATTGTGCTAGGACTGAAACATTTGGATATAAATTAAAGTATATTAGGGATATAGTAAAATTGTAACGATATAGATGTCGTATATTTCTAGTGAAAATCAGTTAGCTGATTTGTTTACAAAATGCTTGCCTAAACCAAGATTATGTTATTTAAGAGATAAATGTAAAATAATATGTGATTAAGGGAGGGTGTTGAGAATAATCACACGTACTCCCCGTTCTTGTTTTAATGTCATGTATTTTAACCGTAACTGTTTTATACTTTTGCTTAGGTTGATCTGGCAACAGTTGTAGTTGTTCTCGTGTGATATGTAGAAACGTGCTTTGCCATGTGGGCATGAAATTCCATCTTTTAATAAAACCTCTACTTAATTATCATCGGCCTCTGATTCACTTTTTTTAAAATCTTTACAGACTGAAATATACCAGCAGCCTAGCGGTAAAGTCGCTGAACTCTGGTAGTTCGGTTTCGTGTTCTTCCCCATGTGTAACTTGTATTGAAGCCAGTTTCCCTTATAAAATCCTCCACGAAGGCATCCCTCCCCGTAGGCAGATAGCTCTCGGGGCTTTGCCGTAATCACACACACACACACACACACTGACTGAAATATTTCTATCAAATTTATTATCATCATCATCTGATGTTTTATATTCTGAATTGTATTTGTAAAACACACTATTTTCACAGTCGCTATCGAATCATCATTAGATAACACACAATCAGGTAAAAATGAACATCATCAGCAGAATATTCAAGACTATCCTCACTTAAATCACTCAATTTGCCCAAATTATTCATATATCTAGCAATTTCATCTTGGGTTAGTATACTCTTTTTGGCCATGTCAAAATGGTAACCAAAGACCATGTTTGCAGACCTGCAACATATAATTAAAATCAAATTTCTTTCAAACTTTTTCCTTGAAAATCAAAATTACTTTTAAATGAACATAAAATGTTTTAAACTTCTTACCTGGTAATTGTTTTCGTCAATAAACAAGAGGAAGCATAAAATATAATGGATTCTTTTTATAGCAAAAACACAGTTCCTGAGGCATCGGAGATTTTTATAATTGTTGTGATTTCTGGAAAAAATGTGCTGCTATCTAGTGACAAATTTAGCATGTATTTCGTTGCAGTAACCTTTTTCTGTTACATAAGTGATTTGTAGGTAATTAAAAAAAATATTGAGTCTGTTAAATTAAAATAAATCATATGTTGCAGAAATGCAACAGTGGGAAGTTAAGGGTTAAATTATTTAAATATCAATATGAATGAAAAAATAAATTGTATTTATTATTAGGTTCCAAGCGAATACAATAAATATGCCTTATTATTATTTATTTTCTCTATTTTGAACTGAAATTTCATCATTAAATCTTGTAATATAGTTTAGTTCTTCATAGTTTTTTTTTTCCTCTCATTGTAAACTAGTTCTGTAAATTGAACTATTATTTAAAATTTAAAAAAAAAAAAAGTAATTATTTTCCATGGTTGAGGTAATGCTTATTCTCTCTTAATAAGTACTTCATTTCTCTTAGTATTTTAAATTACAAGGCCTAATTTTTAAGGTTATGCAGTTGTGTATGACGTAATTAGACAGGTGCTTATTTTCTTTCTTAAAATGTGCTTGAAAAGTGCTTATAGGTGCTTATTTTTTTAACTAAAATGTGGCTATGAACCCTGACACATTTGTTTCCCCTTGGACATCAGCTCCTCAGCCCAAAAATGCATAAATCGAATAGCAGTGACGAATGATATTCTGGAACCACTGAATCAGTTTCCAACATGGAGGCCCTTCTTTTTGTGAATTTAACATTGCATTTCCAAATGGTTTCGTTCTTAACATAAAGTTTCATGTTGTGGCCATTTTCGCATACTTGATTATCAGGTAAAAGACCTCTTTCTTGAAAATCTACGTCATTACTTGGTAAATTAAAGATTGTTAATGACATATTCATAAAAAAATGAATATATTTTTAAATAAACAATGTGAATTCAAAAACCTCATAAAAAATTAATAATATGAGAATGTAAGGCAAGAGCAAAAATGCAACATGGTGCTAATATATGGCCAAATGGTGAGGTATAAAAACATGCAGCCAAATTTTCATGAGATATGTTGTTGATTGGCAATTCAATCTCTGGGGGCTGCTGTAACAAAGAAGTACCGAAAGACAATATACCTATAGCAAACCCACACAGGAGTGAAACTTGTAACAGTTAATTTTGGCTAGCAGTGAGCTCCTACTACCCACCACACTATTTAAAGCAAATAGGTTACCTTGGTTATATAAGTTGACTCATTAAAAAGCAAATACAAACATCTTTATAAATCCAAAAACTTTATTTTCTAAGATCCTCACATCACCTTGTCTTTAGTGACTAATAATTTTAAAACAGAAGTACATAAGGAATATTTAAAATAATTTCAGTTCTGTTTAGATAAATTCAGTCTTTTGCGAGATCATAATCACTATGTTTCGAATCGCATAGCATATTGCTGAAAATTGCTCCATGTACTCCCATTTGGGACATGTTGGTGATTTTTGCTGTGAATTATGATGCATATCAATATAAATTTGCTATCGAAGATGATTGTGGCCTGGATAATGCCAGAATAATCTAGTTAGATTTCATGGCAACATTTATTTTTACCCCATCAACAGAAAAGTACCAAAATTTTCACAAAATTATCCATACATATTAGTATCCAAACCTTTATGTGGTTTAATTTTTAACTTGAAAGAAATAAACTTCTTAAAAGTACCAGCACTTTAAGTTGGATTCTCTGTGTAAGTAGGGTTTTAATTTTCCACTGTGATTAATAAACCACATACGGATCCTGCTCAAATAACAATGTTCTGATTTGTAAGTTGTTGGTACATTCTTTCAGAATTGGAACAGAATTTTCCATTTTTCACAGTTACAATTCTGCCATTTCCCAACCATTCATATTTTCTAAATACAGCTTCAATTAAGCAGGAAAGGGGGGGTCATATTTTGATGAATTCCGTACAAAATCTATTTACTTTATATTGAACTGAAGTCATACTTTAGGTAATAACTTTCTTTGATGTATAATGTAAAATAAAGATGTTTCTACTATTCTGCTCTTTTTATATTAACTTAGATCAACCAAAAATCATAGAAAAATTTCATTTTCCTCCCTTGTATTCCCAAATAGTTTATTACGAACATATTTTGTCAGATATTCAGCAGTTATTGAAGCTTAGTATTCATGTGCAAAATTAAGTTTTCTATGGGTAATTAGAACGCCTTTCTGTGAAAATAGTTCATAAATACACTCTTTACATATCCTATGCCTATTTATCTGCCTGGTTTCCTGTTACCGTCAAAATAATTAAGTTAATAATATTTCAGTTTGTTACAATTTTCTCTCCTTCATTTTTAGGTATGAAAATATTCCAGATGAATGGAGGCCACCTTCACCACAGCCTTATGTTGAACATGTAAGACAAAGATCCTCATTATCACAAAAGATTGAAAATCAATATTTTAAGCAATGACTTTAATTTTCTGTATTTTTTATGAATTTTTAACTAATAGTTAAATTTGCTTTTCCAGTAGTATTGCATATATTTTGCAGCTAATTCTGAATGTTAATTGTTAACTGTCATAAATTTTTCTCCTAAAAAAGTATACCTGCTATATACATGTATTAAGTTATTGATCTATTTCACAATATTTAAATAAATAAACAAGCATAATAATGTTCAAATAGCATATTTTAAATAAAATATGTATTTAATATAAATTGGTAATACATATGAGGGTCTACATTGATAGTAATATTTAAAATTTTGTAATATTACATCGCTATCATGTCAAATAATAAGAAAAACTTTTGCATTCTGTAAATGTACAAGCAAGAATAATCTTTAATTTCTTTTCCATAAGTATGTTTGCTGCGATTAGCAGACTGGGGATATAAGAGAAACCCAACTATCAGTTTTGTTCCAAAAATAAAAAGTTTTTCAAGATATTTTTATGTATCCAAGATTGTTCCTCTCTCTTTGGGAATAGTTTTTAAATTTTTGAAACATTCTTTATTAAAATTTTGATGAATAAAATTCACAGCCATTTTACATTAACAAAATCTGTAGTTTGTGATGTTGAATTTCTCTTACATTTTATGTGTGTGACATATGAGTCTACTTCACTATCAGCTAGTAAATAATAAAACCATAAATTGTGTTTTTAAATGAACATACAGTAACAGATTTTTTGTTTAACACTTTCTCTTCCAGGCTAGCTGTATGAAAATTCACCAGAAGTCACTTTAATTTATGTACAGTTTTTCCGAATTACATTTCCTATTGTAACAAATTTTTGTTGTGTTGAAATTTCTGCTTTATTTAGTTTTTCATATATATCATTACCTGAACCTTCAGTGTCATCTGTATGAGAGACATATTATTTTTCAAGCAAGGAACTGAATTCACTTATACATTTGTCTGATAATTTTTTTCTTAAATATTAACCTCTTATTAAAGGATACTCCATTTAAGGGACACTGGAAAAAAGTTTCAAAAAAAAAAAGAAAAAAAAAAAAAAAAAAGCTTTTTTTTTTTTTTTTTTTTTTTTTTTTTTTTTTTTTTTTTTTGAGGTTTCAATGGCAAGTTTGTGCACAGTTAAAGATAGTATTGGTGTTTCTTTGTAAGTGCTTGGTTCCAAAAAATGAAAGTACACCATGTTGAGATGAACTGTAAACCTTTTATTTCGGCTAGAAGACTATACAAGGTTACACAGGGTCCCTTCCTACGACTTTACGTTCCTCGTAACAACTACTTACCATAGCTGGAATTGCAGGTCACTCAGTGTTCCAACAGACAGTACACTTGGCGGCCTCTCACTCACTGTCCTTCACTACAAGCTTTTCCCACCACACACACTTTGTAACACACACTTTGTAACCATACATTAAAAAAACTCTCCTAATGTCACTCCTTGTGGTGCAACAAGTCTTGTGACAAAGAAACAAGCTGAAAAGTTAATCCCTTTCTTTAGGTTTTTCTCACCTAATGCAATGTTAGTATTGCAGCGTTTGGACCAATGTATAATAAGAAGCTTCAAGGTTCATTGCAGAAAACTGTTTTTGCAATATTTTCTTTGTCAAACTGTTTATGGAAACAGTGATCATCTTGCAAAATGTGTCAATGCATTCCTTACTGTACTTTATTGTTAATTTTTTCACTCACATGTTGCTGATTTAGGATGAGAAGACCCTAGTAAATTGTGATTTACATAGCTCATATCATGGGAACATTTTTTGAAAAAAAGTTTACATAAGAAATATAAAACCGAAAACAAAAAGGTTGAATTTATTACGTTTGTGATGCCAGCTAACGTAAAAGCAAAGTAGTAATATATGCCTCACCTTGCAGTGGCACATGATTGGCATCAAACATGTTAATGAGTTAAATTATTAGTTTAATCAGGTTTAGAGTTGTCCAAACTTTTAGCATTGCAACTCATATGCATATATGCATCTGCAATCAAGCCGTTTTAAAAATAACATTTCTTGATTTAAGTTTTTTAAAAATTTTCCTGCAAAAGTTAAACAGACATCTTGATTTTATAAGCATCTTATTCTAATATAATAAATCGTCAAAAAATACAAGTTTTTCTAATTTTAATGCCTTAAAGAATTTTTTTTTTTTTATTAAAGATTGAGTAAATAGAGTGATATGTAAATTACAGGAGCTTTTTTACATGTAAATGAGAATTGTAATGCTGAGGAAGTCCGATGTTGTGGGAGAGGTTTTTCTGCCTCTAATCTTATAAATAAACCACAGTTTTGTGTCTGGAAATAATTTAATTTTTAAAATATAATTTAATTCGTACAAGTATAATTTTACTTCATACAAGGAAGTAAAAACAGATTTTTAATATAAGATGTGGTACTACTCGATTTCCACGGCCTCCATGATAAATCGCCAAATTATGTAAAAAAAATGGTGCTTTCACTTTCTACTTCAATTTGGCAAACCTCATAATATTTTTTTTTTTTTTTCCAAATTATACATTGTAAAAAAAGTTGATAATTTTCAATGTACCATTTTTATTCATGTGTTTGGAAAAAAATTTAAAAACATCACAATTCTAGGTAGTCTGTATTTTAGACTGCCAAAAGTGATAAAATTTAGCTTTAATAAATCTTGGAATATGTAGCAGTAATTGTAATGAAAAATTTTCCAAATTTTTTGCCTTTGTTATCCCTATTGCCTTTTACTTACAGGGAAATCTCAAGTATTGGTTGCAAGAGCCTGATGCATATGATCAGTATAGTGTAATATATGAAAGTGGGGGAAAGACTGCTATTTACTTGAATACAAATCCAGAACCTACTCTTTTACAGGAAAGAGAAGTATGTATAAATTTTGGAATGCATTTTAGTTTTTTAAAAAAAAAGTGTGGTACCTTGTTAGTTTTCATGCAAAGTTTCTCTTGTGTACAGGCATGGACTGAAACATATGTACAGTGGTCTCCTCTTGGTACGTATTTAGCAACCTTTCACCCTAGAGGAATAGCCTTGTGGGTAGGAGAAAAATTTACTCAATTTATGAGGTTCAGTCATAACAAAGTCCAGTGTATTAGCTTTTCTCCTTGTGAAAAGTAAGTTTTATTTCTTATTCTTGTTATGTAATATTATATAGTAAAATATTTCCAAAACGTTTCCAGTATTTATTGTGTATTATAAGGTTCTTTTCATTTAAAGCTTGGAAAACATTTTTCAGAAACTGTTTTCTTTTGAAAATATCTCTTTGGAAGCAGTTCTGAAAAACACTTTTTAAGAGACATTTTTAATTCAGCAATTTGTTTATTGTTATATTTTGAGGTACTGAAGATTGATTATTGATAGGTTTTACACAATAATAAATGTCGTAAAGCTTAAAACTGCCAGATAGAATAGTGAATTAGTGCATTGTATTTAGAACTGATGTTGTAGAAATACAAACATTTTGGGTACTTTTCTGTTTCACTGTCGCAAATCTCGCCAAGCAGACTTTGTTGGCGACAACATACAGTATATACATAAAAAATGTTAACAAATGTTAGTTTTTAAGAATTTTTTTATTTTGAAGGAATAAACATTTTAATATCGTTTAAAATTTTGTACAGTCAAAAGTCGTTAATTCGGACACCCATAATCCGGACCTCAAAGCTAAAATCTTTCTGCACATGCGCCGTGTGGACGTATGTGCATAGGCGCAAGACATATGCGTTTGCGCAAGCGCAGAATACGTTTTTGCTTGCGCGTTTAATCTATAACGGACGGTATAAGCTAAAATTATCTAATTATCTATTTCAGTTTCAGTTAATGTTGATGATTGCGTTGTTCCTTAATCTTCGAATTGGATCCGGCTTATTATTTTTTGCAGACTGTAAGAGCAATTTTATAAAAGTACGCTTAAACTTTCGATTATGTCAAATAGAATTTCCGATGCTGGAGCTCCCAAAGGATCTAGAAAACGAAAGTATGTTTCGATGTCCATCAAACAAAAAACGAACTGCTACAAAAAAATGGATAAAGCCATATCCTTTGTTTATCTAACCGTTCCGAAATCTGTTTATCAATTTCACGCTGCTCTGCGCGGGGGGGGGAGACGTCGCGGCGGCAATGAACTGGAAGTTGATCTGTCAGCGCTATCGTTATCTTCAGGGCAGATTTTTTTATTTTATTCGGCTTATAATTCCTTACTAAATGTAATATTTAATCTCGATGTGCTCCGTCTTTGATATGATTTAAATCAAATTCCTCGTCATTATAAAATATCACGAATACAAATCAAATAGTTTTCTGGTTGCAATTTTCTAATTTCGGCTTTGCGTAAGGTATGCTTTACGCATGCGCGCGTTAAAAGAAATGTTTAATAAAGTAAACAAATAAATATGAAGCTTCTTTTTTTGTAAATTTTGATACCCTTTAGATCATAATTGCTCATTATTTTATAAATTACGGTTTTATATTTTTAATTTTATAATTTCTGCATGCCATCTTACCAGATTTAAACTGATGATCTATAATCCGGAAAAATCGATAATCCGGAATCGCCGAAGTCCCGACGAGTCCAGATTAAAGACTTTTGACTGTATAAAGACAATAAATTTGTAAAAAGACATTAATATGAGAATTTACTATGCTTTTATGCTTCAACATCCTGATTCACTGGTTCATATCACATGACCCCAAATGATATCTCACATAAACTACATTACAAAAATCTATTTCTCTCAGTAATTATCTACATTAATTTCAAGTTAAATCTTAATTTGCAATGCAAGTTGAAAGAATTATTTCAACTCGTACGGATAGCTTACTGAGAAATTATGTAAAACTGCAGTGCTTTATTTCGATGGTGCATTCTCGTTAGAATTGATGAATTTAACCCTTGATTTTGCCTTCAAGTGTGATTGCATCCTAATTGACTTAATTACCACAAATGGCCTTACACCTTGTAGGAAATATTTTTGTATCCAACAAATTGCATTTCATTAGCAAGAAAGTCATGCAGATTCTTTTGGAAAAGTATTGAGCAGACACTAATCCCATCAGATCCAGACTCAGCTTATTATAATTATGATTTTCAGAATTAAAAAAGTTCATTTTACAAACCAGAAGAATTTCTGTATAGAATAAGAATTTATCAAAATGTTATACATTGTATAATGGCTTTTTTGTATCTTTAGGTATTTAGTAACATTTAGTAATATCCCTGAGTCAAAAGATGATCCTAATTGTATTATGATTTGGGAAATTGCGACTGGAATCAAAAAAAGAAGTTTTCACCTTGAGCCACATCTCCCTTTAACATGGCCCATGATCAAGTATTTCATGTTTCATTTCTAATTTTCTTAATTTGATGCATGCTGTTGTTGAACTGCAATATTTAATTTCTGTACAAACTCTGTAAGCATATTAAAAACTGAATATGGGTAATTTTCTTATAGATGGAGCCATGATGATAAGTATTTTGCTAAACTTGGTAAAGATATGCTTAGTGTGTATGAAACTCCTGTAAGTTTTGCTTGAAGTATATTTTAAATTTGCTAAACTCTGATTTAACTGAGATTTATAAGTAACTTATTTTAAATTCTTTTTTCGCAGTCTTTTGGTTTAATGGAAAAGAAAAGTATCAAAATTCCTGGAATAAAGTAAGTTTTTAGCTATAAAACATTTTCATTTGTGTAAATAAATATTAAGTTAATGATTCAAACTGAAGTGCATTAAATATGTGAATATATGTTTGAGTAAGCATCTCGCTCATTGGGTGATTATAAAATGCAACAGAACTCCGAAACCAGAGGTAGGGACTTCAACCCATCTGGATATTTGAAAAATCCAGGGTTGCATTTTCCACTAAGGTCAAATACATGTTTATTGTAATGTACGTGGGTAAAATTTTTTCATTTATCATATTTTAATGAAAGCAAAATTGTATGCTGCTATAAACATAAACAATTCAGTTTTCATGAAGTAAAATATGCAATATACATGTTCATCTCAAATTTTAAAGTTAATTAGAAAACATACCATGTTTTATCTTATACTACAATACATGAAAAAAAAAAGTGTAAATCAACACCAGTTTCTACTTAATCTAGAAAAAGGAATGTGTAATCAGGAAATTATTGGAATTTATGTATCTAACGTGGCTAACTAGAACTCTATTTATTCATAAGATAAATATGATTTGTCTTTTAAGTATACAAATGCCAGGCATTAATTTTCTAATTTAATATAATGGACATTCAACAAAAGTGCTATTAAAGCTACTTTGAAAATATTGAGGAAAAATAATCACATTGCAGTAATTGTTTGTGAACTTATGTGTTTGGACAATATGACACACAACTTGTAAATTTATAGCCTATTTCCCAACATTTTCTTATATTGCCTGCTGATCGACACTGCGAAGACTAGAAACATTAGTATGCCTAGCGCTAATATGAGGACATTAACAAGGAAGTGAATAATGTAAATGAACTTTAAAAGTCTGGTTTCCTAAACATTTATTAAGCAAAAACTTACTTAATTATATAAATTAAGAATATACTTAAAAATTTACTTAATTATATAAATGACAGACCTGTGCTACAAGAGTTATATCAGTCAGCCCTTGATATATGTTGGTGTTGCGCATTTAAGCTTTGCTTTTTATACCAGTGATGCATACAAAATGCAAGTAGTTGCGTCTCAGTATCTGAAATTTAAAAAGTGACTGAGCTGTACTAACATACTTTTTCAGCCTGTATAGGTTCTTACAGATTCATCATGCACATTGTGGTAGGAATATATACATTTTTGTCGAGCTGATTATTGTAAATACATGATAAGTGTTTAATCACAACCAGTTTATTTTTTAAATATCATGCAGAGATGTAATTAGTAGTTTGATGCAGTGCTATTCACTTGGTACCTATTGTGATCATATTCAAAAGGTGTTTAATATATCATTGTGACAATAACGATTTTTGTTTAATTATTTATATTTTAATAATAACTGTACATAAGTGCATTAGTTTGTTCTATGTTGTAAGAGATCATTTGCTTTAGAAGTTTATAGATATATTTTTTTAGAAATTTGATTTCCTAAGAAGAATCATATCAAGTCATGACAATATTGTAAAAGCACACAGTTATGACATTTATATAACCAAGTGAAATACTTCATAGGTTGTAATAATACAACCTATGAAGAAAAAGGAATGTGTAATCAGGAAATTATTGGAATTTATGTATCTAACGTGGCTAACTAGAACTCTATTTATTCATAAGATAAATATGATTTGTCTTTTAAGTATACAAATGCCATATAGTTTTTAATGTCTAGGACATCAATCATGAAATGCAAATATTATTGTAGGATGACTTATTTGGTATTCGGGTTTTGTAATGGAGTAATTTCCTATTCCTGCAGGGAAGAACTCTGAATATTCTGACTTCAGTATTTGGAAGCAATTAGTGTCTATGATGATTTTGGTAACTGTTTCAAGATATGATATGAATTTAATATGAGGTTTCCCTCTTATATGAGGGACTTATTTTCAAATACCAAATAATCAGACTTAACAAGAAAAGTTAATCGAAAAATTTACAGAAGAAAAATGTCTAAAAAGTGGATTAGAAAAGCAAATTCTATCAGTTTATCAAGCATTATGAGTTTGGGCAGTAAGGAGACTTATGTTCTAAGCTCTACTATGTGGATTTAGTACCCACTCATGAATTTTTTGACAGAAAAGTGTAACAGACTGAGTAGTCTATGGAAGCAATTTAAAGATATTGTGGATAAAAACAAAATCAAATACAGTGAAAGTAATAGTATCAGACTAGTTAAGACTGTTAATAATTATTCTTTTACCTCTTTATTTTTGTTTCAATAATTTAAAAATTTTAGTTTTTAATTCTTTTCTTAGTTCTTAGTCAAACATTTTACGATTAACTCTCTAAATGCTTTGCGTTTTAAGCAAAACCATTAAAAAATTTAATATTAAATGTAAATAATTATATTTGCGAATTAAAATTTACAGAATTTATAATATATATATAATTTTATTTACTAAAGAGATATTGATTATATTATCTCCTAATATAAGTTTAGTTGAATGTACCCTATATTTCTTAAAATACTGATTAGAATATTAAAATAAGTGCACATAAAAATAATTATTGCATTGGAATTTAGAACTACTCATTAGTTATTTCTGTTGTTGGTAATGTAATATTTTTTGTAGTTATAAACATGAGTTCTGAAACATTGCTTACTTTGTGCATTTCTTTATAATTATAGTTTAATTTTCTATTACCTTCATCTGGGAATGAAAAATATTTGCAGATGATAGGCACTTTATATTGTGAAATAATGTATAGCAATCATTGTCTTAAAAATGCTTTTATTAAAGATAATTTTTAGAATTAGAATTTTGAAACTTAATCCATTTTGCTTACATTGAAAAATTCTAATTTGATTCACCAAAATGTTTTTAAAAATTCCAGCTTAATAAATTTGCTGAAATTTTTTCTCAGGAATTTTTCTTGGTCTCCTACAGACAATATTGTAGCCTATTGGGTCGTTGGAGAAAAAGATGTCCCTGCTCGTGTAATTCTGCTTGAAATTCCAAGTCGAAAAGAACTCAGGTCAAAAAATCTTTTTAATGTAGCAGACTGTAATATGCAGTGGCCAAAATCAGGGGACTACTTATGTGTCAAGGTTGTTAGATATACCAAAGCCAAAAAGGAGAAAAATGAGATCAAGTATGGTGTATGTATTCTCAATTTTTTTCCTTTTTCAAATGATTTATTTATCAGTGCTACATGTGATAGTATTCTGTCATTCTCATTTATGATCTATGATAGTCTTGCTGATATAATTAGTAACACTCATCTGCAACAACAATTTAACAGTTAACAGAAGTCTTTCACATACCCAAACTGTTAAGCTGTCAAGATTTGGTTTTACCACTTTCTTCATTTATTTTTTGTATTTAAAATTGAAGAGGAGAAATTTATGGTAGGTCTTTCATAAATATGGTCTTTCATAAATAATTTACCTTAAAGAATTTAACTTGTATGTTATTTATCATAATCATGCTTGAAGTTAATCATGTAAAAGAGAGATTGTGATGAATTTGGCAACATTCACAATTTAAATAAAAAATGAAATATTTTATTTTATAGTTATTCAGTTTGAAAATATTGCTACTATAACTTCTGCTGAAAAATAGTCTATAGTGAATGAAATCATGTTAACTAAAAAGTTTATTTCATTTGTGTATTTTGAGTTAATTTAAAAGTTATATAAACTTTCTCCTTAATTCAGTCGCAAGAAAACATACTTGAGACATAAAATAAGAACTTAAAACACACAGTACATTCAAAATGAGAAAGGAAAATAATAGAAGTTAAAAACTTACTTAATTATATAGTACATTCTAAATGAGGAAATAAAATAATAGTAATAAAAATCTTGCTAAATTATGTGATTCAAATCTTATTTATTGCAACAACTTAAACTATTATGACACTTTGAATTGCACAAGAGGCCCTTGCTTTTACAACTGCATTTATTTGTGGAACACTTCCTTTTGCAATGACAGCGTGTATAGCCTTGCCCAACACTTCTCAAATTAACTGCAGCTGCTTCTCTCAGTGACATTTATTGAAAATAAATCTCATCTATGGAAAGTAACTTTTCTTTACAAATCATGAACTGATTATGTGTGTAAAGCTGCTTGAGGGTACCATTTTCGTTTGCAAGTTTATAGAAGTCAGAGTTTTCTATTCCAACAACAACTGCTAACACATTTCGGTTTTCTGTACGACCACGGTCGACATCAGGGACTTGATCACCAATTTGAGTCAATCTTTTCGACCTATGCCAGAGCATATCTGTGATTGTCGACATACACCAGTGAGGATCTGAATGTACAAGAATGTTATTTGGTGAATGTTGACATTCTCCGATTTCAGTCTGTCAAGGTAACATATTCACATTAAAATGCTTTTGAAGAATTATGAAATCTTCATCTGTAATATACTCAACACTAACTGAATTTTAAAATGGCTGATTTTTATAAGATTGGGTTAGTAGAGTATCCTTTAAAGATGTTGCACTTTTATACCTTTTTGTTTTCAGGCTTATTAATATATCACATAGCGTGCTCTATGTTTCATTTAATACCGTATTGGATTTTTTTCCCTTTCTTTAAATCCACAGTGAAAATAAAATCATAAAAACTACAAAATTCATTCTTGAATTGTAAATTAACTGAATACTTGCTTAATAAACATTCATGGGCTCATTTGACAGGAATTTTTTGGAGGTTTAGTAATTTGTGATTTTTTTCCTCATTAAATATCCAAATGATGCCTCTCCTCCTCCTGATATTTGATTATTTCTGTTCAGTTTTTCCAAATACCAGTAATTAGTTGCCAATTCAATATTGTTCTAATTTTGAGTACTTGCACCTAACGAAAAGGGACTACTTCTGAGCTATATAAACAGTGCAAGTTTTCAAATCATTTGAAACATATTAAATTTTGAAGTATAAAATTCTGTCATAAAGTCATGGCTTCTGCTAATCGTGGTGTTTTATTGAAATATATCTATATCTTAGAAAAGCTCCGTGTGTCTTCATATCTTAATTTTGGATTAGTATAATAAAACCTCACCCCAAAAGATATGTGCAAAAATGTGGTATTTAGAATTGCATATTTATTGAACATATGATATGATTTGTATTTTCTCTTGACCAAATGCAATTATATATAAAAAAATTGTACTGTTTTGTTTGGTATTATCTGCTGCAGCAACCTTTTGACTCGAAAACCCATTTTAGAATCATTTAATAGGGCTTAGGAATAGTATTGGCAAGAACAGAGAAATGAAATGTAAAGTAAAAAGGTATTTAAGCAATAATAAGATGAAATTACATCTTAAAAACTTAGATATTAATAATACCACAGTTTATTCTCTACTGGCACAAATATTGTACACGTGATGTAGCTATAAATAAAATTTATTTCAAAGCTCTGTAAATGAAACTTTTTACATTGTTGATGATAGAACCAATAAAAAAATGGATAGTTTTGGATAATAAATCCTAAGTATTTAATGGATAGTTTTTAGAAATTAAAAAACTAATTGCATCATGTAAATCTATTATGACTAATGGTATCTAGCTACACAATTTAATTATTTGTAACTAACTTCTTACCCTTAGAACTTATCTCTTGTCTCTATATGTCTTCTTTCCTTAATCCTTATTATGAATGCAAGATATGACACAAAAATATAAAAATTAACAGAAAACTTTTTTTCCTTACATCTAATGAGATTTAAAGTAATGCAAGACAACCTATCATCGCTGGTGCTTCAGCAGCTTATTGGAATTTTGTATTAAGTACTGTATATTAACTGAATTACTACTACAGGGAATCTCAAGTTATGACACCAACACAAAGTGCAGCTCTAATTTTCAACCCTTACTAATTATACCAACTTCAAGCGTTCATGACTGTTCTGATCAGAGACTTTATGTCGAGCCTGCTGTGGTCGCAACAGCCAAGCTTCTGTTATGGGGTTATGTTGATTATTTTACTTCATGTTTATTACTTTGAACCTGTGTCATATGACATAAAATCTGCACTTATTTCTGTACTGACTGAATCTGTCACCAAACGAGGCATAAAAGGAAGAATCAACATAAAGCTAAATGTTAGCAAAATTTAAATAAAAAGTCACTAATCTTCTTTAAAATATGTGGGACTGTTATAATATAAATATTTCAAAAAATTTTATAATTTAGTGCTAATTATTTGAAAAAAATTATGAAGTTAATTTTATTCTTTAATTTGTCTCATAATTAGGTAAATTATGCTTGATAAAAATGCATCCCAGTTATAGATTTATTTTATTCTTAAAAATTGCAAAAGTGAAATTTAGATATAGATAATTGCTTTCGTTTATTCAGTTCCTTTTTGCTTGATAGGTTTTACATTTTTTTCATTGAAGGTCTTTAAAAGTACTAAATTTTCATGTGCAGGAGTGTGTATAAACCCTGGAACACGAACAACCTCAAGGTGATATGCCAACTTACTGCGGTCAGACTATAGCAAGTATTTTCCTAGTACCTCCTCTAGAGGTCTGAAATTCAACTCAAATTTATATTCGTAGTATAATTTCTAGTTTTCCTAATTTTGTTCTACTTTTTGTTCCTTATTCTGTAATTTTATTCTGTGTTGGCTGCAGAGTTTTTGACTACACAGAGAAAGGTTAGGAACCACTGATCTTTAGAATGGAGAGCATTATTTCTTGCATACATGGGTATGAATGATGAGAAAATTGTAATGAGAATAAAGCAAAATTTCTACAGAAAATAGAAAAGGGGGCACATGTGAGATACAGCAGATGTCACATTATGTAAGATTTCTTTAAATTCAGAACAGGATGTAATTTAATTGTACATAATTTAAATTTTACATTGTTAAATCATCCGTTAAAAATAATGTGCTAAACTTTTAAAATAAATGTATACACCTGTTAATCTTCTGCTTCCTATGGACTTTCTGTTAAGTGTTTTCTAGTTTTGAATGCTTATTTAATTTATATAATAAAATGAAAAATTAAACTACTAAAAAGTAAAGTAAATTATTCACAGTATATTTTCTATTAGTTGAATATGTTCATTCTTTTTTCCTGCATTTTTAGTTTTTTTTATATTTGAAAAAAAAATATTTTTTATATTTGTTGGATTAATCGTAATATCGATGCAATAGTGGATATTGTCATTTTATTATGCCTGTATGGTTCATTTATTAGTGCAACTTTTTATTTTTAGAAAATGTATGTCAATTTTGAAGTATTTTACATGCGAGAAAAACAAATTCCTGTGGATAGTATAGAAATCAAAGGTAAGAGGCATACTTTCTTCTCTGTGAAAATTTTACAGTAGTTTAAATCTGTATTTTGAATTAAAAGTAAAGAAATGTCTTATTAAATAGAAAATATAATCGCTTTCTCATGGGAGCCAGTTGGAAACAAGTTTGCTGTTATACATGGAGATGGGGCATTCATAACTGTCAGTTTTTATGGAATAAAATCAGGAGGAACAATGACACTGTTGAGTATGTTTCTATTTTCTTTTAATATGGAAGACAACCACTTGTGTTTTTTTTTTAAATTTATTTATTTTCACTGTTATTTACTTTTTATTTATTAGAAAAGTATTTACTTTCTATTTATTAGAAAAGTTTGAAAAAAAGCAGTGTAATCGTCTGTTTTGGTCTCCATTTGGACAGTACATTGTTCTTGCAGAATTAAAGACATCGTAAGTTCCTTTTTTTATGCATAGTTTTTATTTTGAATATTTCCTTTGCTTCTTGACTGTGTTTTAATATCTAGTAGAAACATAATTATGCCGAGAAAGGACTACACATTGTAAATAATGTGTATATTTACAAATTGAAAGTAATACATATTGTAGTAACAATATGTATTACTTTCAATTTAAATATGCTTTCATTACATAATTACATTTCAGCCAAAAAAGTTTAGTACTTTTCTTTGTTTGAAGTGCCATGACATTTATTTGAAAAAATTTCAAAAACAAATGTCCTAATCTGTAATATACAAATCTTAAATATAGTAGATCCTTGATTACTCTGAAAATGCAATTTATAAACGATTATTGGTTTACAATTATTGTTCGGATAGCAATGGATTGATAATGAATACACTATTTATACACACTGCACTTCACAGAGGACCAAAACTGGCAAATTATGCATGGAGGAAGCCAATAATATGAGAGATCGAAAGTCTACTGTTCTTTTAGAAAGAATTTTTTTTTTAATAGTAAAGATGGCTATTCAAGTTAATTTTTGGCAACAAAAATAATAGAACTAAGTTTTTCATAAAGGCAAGCCAAAGATCTGAATTTACCTGTATTTCACATTCTGTTCAAAGTTTGTATGACTTATCTGGGTAAACATTCTCATCCAAATAAATAGAATCAATGGATAAATCTACAAAAGCCAAAGACAGAAAATCATTTGTGAATCTTCTTTTAAATTCAGTGTGTATAATTATGGTTTCTTCATAAGTTGCATTTAGTGAGAAGTTAAACTTAACACTCCCTGTTGCAGTTAATCTAGCTTGTATAATTTTACAATACTGTTGTATCCTATTTCCTTGGGGATGCTGAAACAAGATACCATTTTTGCTTTCTTAATGATGCATTTATTATGTTCTAAATTTATATATATATTTTATATTTTATCATAAATTATTTATATTTTAATATTTATAAATCATTCTTATTGAAAATTTTCTAATCCAAGCCAAATTTTCATACACATTTATCTACAAATATAGGCACTCAATAATTTGAACAATTTCAAAAAACTGTATAAAATTATCTAATTTTTATATCAAAGTGTAGTTTGCACCTAAAGTCTTATCATGGCAATGAAATTAAAGACCTGTATTTAATATGCTAATTAGTATGCACTTTCTTTCATACCATATTAACATTTTAAAATATATTTTTTCTTTTTAAGAATGAGTGGCAGTTTGGAATTTATAGACACTTCTGATTTTACATCCATGGCTTTTATTAAAGATATATTGGCTTCTGATGTTGAATGGGATCCAACGGGTAGATATGTTGTGTCTGCCACTAGCCAGTGGACATATAAGGTAGAAAAAAAATTATTGAATTTTAAAATACTATTTTTCATGTAAAATTTGCTCAGAAAATTGAAAGTAATTTTTAGTGAATAGCATTTAGTAAATAAATATTTCAAGTATTATATTTGTTAATGAGATTTTCTTCTTTCTAATTTTGCCACTTGAAAGCTGAGAACTAACTGTACACAGCATATAAACTTTAAGAGGCGAAACTTACACACATGATTAAGAAGTATGTAGGAGGTGCCTTGGTATATGCCATCCTGTATATGCCATATTAATCCGTTCCAGATCTTATCTTCCAGAACCAGGAGTATACCAAACAAACGTTTCCAATAAGAAATAAGTAATTAATTTATTTTTATAAAAAATCCTATTTTAATACTGTAGAATACTAAAATCTTTAATAGTGCATTTGCTTTTCACAATCATATACATCATACTCGACATACAGTATGCGGTAGCCAATTTGTTGCTTATAAACTTCTCTCAAATTCACTGCCAATTAATTTACCAAAAAAAATGGGGGTGGAGAAATTGTGCGAAGAAACTCCAAATCTCTTGAAAATTCAACATTATAGCACTGGTTCTTTACTGAATAGTTGCAACAGGCACACTAATGCTCTTGGGAATTTCAATATTGTCTTGAAAGAGGTAAACAAGTGTAGTGTGCACAGTTGTGACTCATCGAACTCATATCATATTCCAAACAAGTCGTATATCAGAAAAAAAGTTTCATGTCCAAATAGGATGCATATCAAATAGGACATATTTGATGTGGATGTATACTTAGGTACTACTGCACTGTTAGTCATTGCCCTAATGCTTTTTCCCCTTTACAGAATCTTATTTTCTGATTATAAATTGCAAGCCATCCCTTGGATTTTAACTAAAAGTAAAATTTCTTATGAAGTTACATAATCTTTTTCCTCAGAAGATTCTTATTTCTGGTAAAAATTTATAAAAAAAGAGTAAATTTGTAGAATGTATTCCCGTGAAGTATGAAAATATATTTTCCTGTCTTTTTCCTTCTGGAGATTTAATTTCTAGAGTGATAGTGTTAAAGTGGAAATGAAGTGGACACATTTTTAATGTGTCCATTTCATTTCCATCTTTAACTTTATGTAAGGAAGGAGGAGTTATTTATTGTTAGTGGATAGGATAATGTCAGTTCCTGACATCTTGCCAAGACATCTACATAGTTGGAGGGATAGGATGTAACCCAACTATTTTATCGAATGCCAGCTAGTGGCAATGAAAACAACTTACAGCAGTTAATCTCCAGCTGCAGTGAAGACAGGTTTTATGTCTATAATATTATGTCTCTGTGACTTGAATGTTAATTCTAAATGTTAGGTGTTCCGTTTTGGTATAGGTGTTTTCTTTTCTTTTTTTTTTTTTTTTTAATAATGTATATTTTCTTTGTAACTGTTTCTGTGCTCTGTTAATAACACTTTTACATACTTTTAGAACTATCCAATGTTTATGGAAGAACAATTACAGGGTTTGTATTGTTCTTATGAGTCCTTAAAAATTCTTAGGTTTTTTTGGAATCGATTTTTGTTTCTTAAAAGCCCTTAATTGAATGAATAATTAATGCATGGGCAAAGAACAGCAATCGGAGGAATTTCAGAAATTGGTCATCGTTGTGCAGAAGTTTTTTTCCTGAATTTAAATGATAAGCTAAGCATTATGTGAATAAATACAAAGATTTCTAAAGTATATCTTAAAATACTAGGAAGAAAATATATGTGTTAATGTTATATTGTTAAAAAGGAAACGTTTTTTAAAATTTTGCTCGAAAGAGTTTTATGATGTGTAAATTGTTGTTCATAAAATACGAGTTTTCTTTTACATGCTTTCTTCACGAGTTTTCTTTTACATTTCTTACATTCAACCGTGTTGGAAACAGTTTCTGATTATTAAAAACCTTCTAGGAATCAAGCTTGTGTAATGTCACAAAATGTTCTTGCTATCATAAATCAAAAGTTTATTTATAAATTAGTTTATTTCAAACTGGTTTTTCTAATATTTTCCGATTCCTTTTAGAGATAATTCAAAAGTGGTAATTTAAGTAAATTAAAAAATAAATAAAAAATCATTGAAATAACAGTTCTAAAAATTACTTAAAAGAATTAACCTCTATATTCTGATAAATGTTGTAACACGTCATTGATTTAATAGAAAAAAAAGTATTGCTCATTCTCCAAACTTATTGAGAAACTTTAATGAACATTTCAGAAATAATTTAGCTTTTAACTGACAGATGTGTTAAAATTATCAGCCTTCATGAGAAAATATTACATTTTGTAAAGAAACGGTAAATTCCATATATGTTTCTTTTAAATATATCATTTCATACTTTAGATTGATGAATGTACAATTTGTGTTCTAAAATTGAGATATGAAATGCACTAAAATTAAAATAATTAATTGTTCATTCTGATTTTTTTTAAACCAAGCTTGATAATGCATTTTGGTTATGGACATTTTGTGGGAGACTTTTTCGGAAGAAAGATGTAGAAGGATTTTGTCAATTGTTATGGCGGCCTCGACCTCCAACTTTATTATCAGAAGAAAAAGTTAAGGTATGTAGATCATTTTACATTAATACTTACATTTTTAAGATAAGGAAAAATTATTTTGCATCTGTACATAGTTTGACAAATATTTGTATTTAGTTCCCTGAATTATTTTGGTACATATTGTGAAAAATATTTGTATTTAGTTGCCTAAATTATTTTGGTACATATGGTGAAAAATATTTATATTTAGTTGCCTAAATACTAATGATTTTAACTGAAGTGAAAAACATCTAACTGTTGCAAGTATTGCTTATAAAGTTTTGTTGAGATTAAAATTAGAAGAATTCAGTTTCAATAAAAGTTTATGTTTTAATAAATAGTAAGAAATATTTGAACAAATTATTATATGTAATTAATAATTTTTCTGGATACATTTTGACTTTTATTTACTGATTATACTTAGGGTATTTTATGATATTTATAAAGGTGTAATAATTTTAAAGTTTAATTATGTGTAAACATTTTAAGCAATAACTCTGAGAGTAACATTGTTAAACATTTATAAATATTGTTCAGCAGTGGTAAGTTATAATTATTATTTATTAATTTGAAAATAGTGTAAGTGTAAACATATTTTAATGTGAATAAAATCAAAAGAACACACTATAGAATATGCTAGCCGCTTGCTGTCTTCCTCAGAATGAAACTACTCCACCATAAAGAAGCTCTAGCAGTAGTATGAACACTCAACAAATTTAGAAGATATGTTGAGAGCCAATCTATCACAATCACCTCTGACCACCAGCTACTGAAGCAGCTAATGTCTTTGAAGTCAGCATCTGGTAGCTCGCAAAATGGGCGTTACAAATCCAATTTTACAATCTGACTATAATTTGACATCCATGGACGATTAAATTTCCCGCTTATCTATTGTCTCATCCTGTTTGTGAACACTCAAGTACAGAGTCTTGTCAAGTCTGTGCTATCCCCGTCGAAATCCTTGTACTAGTTTTGCAGAATAATGCCAATTACAGCTGAAAGATCATTGAAGCTTTTGAGAGTTCAGAGAAAAAGTCAACTACACAACTTGGGCTGGAGGGGTATTTTATTGAATAGCAAGATGATACTACTGGGTTGAAGTGAGAAAAGATATAGCAGTTTATGTCAACAGCTGTCTTGAAGGCTGTTGCTATAATCAAAAGGCGTCTATGTTACTTCAAACTCCTGTCTATGCTCAACACTTTGAGACCCTGTCAATTGACTTTGGTCCCATTCCTGAAACACCATGTGAAAAAAATTGAAAAAAACTATGTTCACATTTTGCATTTCTTGTTGCCGATAGATCTTTTTTTTCTTGTGAGGGTATGTCAGATTATCGAGACTGTACTTATATTTACTTTTCATATCATCCTTGCGCATGTCACATAATATATGCAAAAAGTCATATATGTAGGAAAGGAAATAATTCTTAGAAGATGGAATTATGCAATGATTTCACCTTTACATCAAAAAGAATTACATCCAAAGATGTTTCTGTTTCATTCTCTATCAAGTTTATGTAACTACCCATGGAAGAGTAAAATATCAGATACAAGTTTTTATTACTTCAGATGTAATAGGTTTTAAGTGAAAAAAAATGGTTACTATTTACTATCTATTTAGCAAAGATTCATCTAAAGATTTCTATGTATTATATCAAAAGAAATTTCTAGAAAAACAGAAGTTATGTTCCATAACAAACAGTGGAGAAATAGTGAAGGAAATAAAGCACTGGAATGAAATGAATGATGTTTTAGAATGAAAAGAAATTTATAAATTTTTAATTTGTAAATTCTGTTAAATCATTCAAGATTATATGTCTTCATTGAATCATTAACAGCTGTTATCTGAAATGTTTGTTTATATGTTTTTAGAATTTTGTTGGTTTTCAATGTCTGGTTTAATAAATGTTTTGTGCTGTATAAAATATTTTTAATTATATATAATTCATTGCTTTTCTTATAGGAAATAAAGAAGAACTTGAAAAAATTTAGTGCTCATTTTGACCTAAAAGATCAAATGTCATTATCTAAAGCATCAAAAGTATGTATATTATTTTCAATTAAATTTTACCTAATACTTGATATTTAGCTTGTTTAATTAAGTGTATTAGCTTTTAAGTGTACTCTTTTGTGTGTGTGTTAGAAATGCATTTTGTGAGAAGATTTTTGATAAATGATAGTTATTCATTATTTTCATCATCATTTGCAGATAGAATTAATTCATAATTTTTTTAGAGTAGTTTAAGTTGAATTGGGAATTCAGAGAAAAATATGTTAAAAACCTTTCAGTATTTTATATAATACATTACCCAAATTCCATAGAATTTATTAATATATGATGTGTTATTAATGATATAAGAATATCTTTACATTTAAAATTTCGGTACATTTCCGTTTTGCCGGCGCAAACGATAAAGTCACCAATAATGGTACAACTGATGCCAAACGGAATATCTTCGCTGGTAACCTTTTACGCCTCATATTCAAAACAAATCGCAGCCATTTCTTACCAGATTGAATGTTTCTTTCAACATTGGCATACAATTACATAGAATATTTACAATTAAATTTTATGCTCTAAGACCATTCGCGGTAATTAAGTTAATTAGGATGCAATCACACCGCTCACCGGAAGGCGAAAATATAGAAAAGGCAAAATCATGGGTTAAATTCATCCATTCTAATGAGAATGCACTAGCGAAGTAAACCACTGCGGTTTTTGCATAATTTCTCAGTAAGCTGTTCGTATGAATTGAAATAATTCTTGCATTTAAACTTCTATTTCAAATTAAGATTTAGCTCGAAATTAATGTAGATAATCATATTTTTGTAGCGTAATTTACGTGAAATCACTTGGGGGCATGTGATACGAACCGGTGAATCAGGATGTTGAACCATGATAGCATATAGTAAATTCTTAAATTGATGTCTTTTTACAAATTTATTGGCTTTTTACAAAATTTTAAACCATATTAAAATGTTTATGCCTTCAAAATAAAAAATTCTTAGAACTAACATTTGTTAATATTTTTTATGTGTATACTGTATGTTGTCGCCAACAAAGTCTGCTCGGCGAGATTTGCGCCAGTGAAATGGAAAAGTACCAAAATTTCTTTCCTATTTGATTTGCTTCTAGCACGTTAAACATTGATAGTGTGGGTTATATTATATTAATTAATATATACTGATGGTAGAAAATGAAATCCTAAGAAGTCAGTTCAAGAAGAATCAAATGTAGGCAGAATATTTGCCTTGGTCCAGGGTTCGTACGGTCCTTAAAAGTCCTTATGATTTTCGGAATTGATTTTTGGTCCTTAAAAGTCCTTAATTTTGGCCAAAATTGGCAGAAGGTCCTTAATTTTAATCATCTGAAATTTCTGTCTGTTTTTACGACTGCTATTTTGGGTGTGAATTAGCGTTTTGCAGGAATATTTTTGGTGATTCACTGACAAATATGGCTAATTTTTGAATGGGTTCATGAGTTATAATTTGTTCCTATTTGTAATACAAATAATGGTGGGATACTCGAGTTTCTGAGCAAGAAGTGAAACATAAGCATTTCAAAATTATTTCATTTTTTGTAATGAAGAGCTCTCAAACAACTTGCCGCTTTTGGGGATGTGAATTCTTTTATTAAACGGTTCTAAATTTGGCGATTTTAAAATCGGTTTCCATAGAAAATTTTTAATTCCGAGATCTGGGAATTTTTCGCCGATTTTTTAGAACATTCTAATGTTGATAAATTTCATTAAAATAATGGTAAATATTGGAATTATATTTAAGAAATAACATTAAAATAAAGCATTTTTATTTTCCACTGTCATATTATAAAGTTTCATTTTGGCCACATATTATACAATTTTTTGAATATGAAAAATAAGCAAGGAATAATGCTATTCAGCACAGTTTACAAAACAATTTTTAGCAAAAGCAAAATAGCTATGTAATTAATTAAAAATGTCTTTTTAATTTTTTTTCATGTTAAGAATTTTTCCCATTACTCAGAAAATGCATCAGTTTTCTCTATAAAATTCATTTCACACTTTTTTCCTCCGATTTTTTTTTTTTTTTTTAAACATTTCTGGCTTTTTGCTGTTACAGAATTGGCAGGGGTAATTTTTCTGTAGGATTTTAGACATTGAAGCTTGGAAAGTTTAAAAAGATTTTAAGGCAAATTTATAGACCAATGATTCTAAAAGATTCCAGAAAATGTGATAAAATGAAAAATGTCTCCATGGTAGTAACACACAGTTTCTTACATTTTGAAGAACATCTGGAAGAACAATGAAAACATAATAAATAGTTGAATGTTTTACTTCTGATTCTGGAATCACTTTCTTAACATTTTTATCTTCTCTTTATTTTCTCTACTTTTCACTAGATACAAGCATTGAAAATATCAAAAGTACTTCTAATCTTATCATATGGGCAGGCATTATAGAAATAATTTTTTTGTATTAATAAAGAAACTGAAAGCTGACAATTCAAAAGATTCATCTAATATGTCTTAATGCATCATACACAGAGCTGGCGCTAGGCATTTTGTCACCTGACGCAGTCTCTGTGGATCCTAAATTCTGCTGCCTGGTGCCTTTCTAAATTCTGCTTCCGATGCCTGAATTCTAAAAGTTTTGCCATTTCTAGATTTTGTTGCTCAGTGTGTCCCTAAATTCTAAAAATTATGCCACACCAGCTCTGTGACCAGACTTTACCATATGTATTTCATATTTCTTCTGAATGTTCGTATTACTAAAAGTAATAGGAAAGGGAAACGTGTTGAAAAAAGAAACTAAATATGTAAATAGAAAGAAAATTATTCTTCAAAGATATGTACAGTTATTATTATGTAAATTACGTGTTTAACCTTTACCGTGGTCACAAGGTAAAACACAAAAATATAAAAATTCATGTGAAACTTATTCTTTGCATCTAGTGAGACTTAATGCAAAACAACTTATCACCACTAATGCTTTAGTGGCTTAATAGAACCTTAAAGTATATTAACTGAGTTACAACCTCTGGAACTCTACACAAAGCTACAACACTAACAGCATTAGACAGAGGTCAGCTAACTTTCAAAACTTGCTAACTGTGCCTACATCAGGCCTTTCAGGTTTGTTCTGATCAGCAGGTGTCTCTATAGGCGAGCAGGAGCGGTGACAACAGCCAGTCTTTTGTTATGAATCATGCTGATTCTGATTTTAATGCTCATTTTAACCTATGCTGCTTAACATAAAAATCTACTTACTTTTACTAAACCTCTAGACTGAGCAAGTATGTGACAAAATGAGACATTAAAAAAAAAAAAGCTAACTGTTAGTAAAACGTAACTAAAATGTCACTTACCTTCTTTCAGATATGTCCAGTTATTATGAGTGTAAAATATTTAATGCTACTTGATAAATTTCATAAAATTAATTTTATTCTCAAAATATTAATGATTATGTTAATTAAGTTATGTTTAATAATAATGCATCCTACTCACGTTCAGGCATAGATATAATATTTTTAATTGAATTTATTCAGTTCCTATTTGCTCATAGGTCCTTAATTTTTTTCATTAATGGTCCTTAAAAGTACTTAATTTCCTTGTGCAGAAATGTGTACGAACCCTGTTGGTCAGACCTGTCTCTAACCCAAAAGACATTGTGGGCCGCTTTGGAATGCATTTTATTCCAGCAGGCCACATTTACATACATACATACATATATATTTATTGCTTTTTTGCCCCCAATGTCATATGATTACTGTTTTGTTTCTTAGTGTCTTTTCATATTGTATTCTTTAAGTACAGCAGCAGTTTCTCAACAAGTTAAATACATTAATTTGGAGTTTATAATAATAAAGCAGTGTCTTTCTTCCCATTGTTCACTCTATTATCTGTTTTTATCAACAGTTTTTTTTTTTTTTTTTTTTTTTTTTTTTTTTTTTCTTTGCACTCAGTCTGAAAATTTATACTGAAGACATTGAGCAGTCAGTCTGTCTGTACCCATGCACATCAGGGCTGAATGTGTTAAACGAGATCATCACATGATAGTTCCAATCTTGTCTTTATTGCCTTTCTGACAAATCAGAAGCTGTGATGTCATAGCTCCAATGTGTTTCTGTTGATAGCTACCATGACTGTCCATGTTGTTCTTACTCAGAAGGGTCAGAACAGACTTCTGAATTTTTGTTCATCTAACTGAAGATATCAAATTATAAATTTTGTAAATTCTGCCACAGGTTAGCCATCCCTATTCTAGATAGCATATTTATTTGATTAATGTTTTGAGGTCACAGGTTAAAGTATGGCCAAGAAGAGCCATTTCAAATGTGAAATGATGGCACATTAACAACTACTGTAGTCGCCACGATGTGGAATGCAAGCATACAAATGCGTGTGCTATATGCCAGTTTGTGGGGCAGTGTCCCCATGTTTTTGCTACAATTGATCAGTCAAATCAGCAAGGGTCTATGTTGGTTGTGAAAGACTGGATTTGTCATCCGATCATGTCCCATACATGCTTCATGGAAGAAAGATCAAGTTATCTCACTCGCCAAAGTAACATGTTGACACTTTGTAGTACATATTGAGTAATAGCTGCAGTATGGGGATGAGTGTTGCTCTGTTGGGAAATGTCCCTGTAATAATGGGCATATGAAGTTCTGTGCCCTGTGCATGCGTTTCATAATTGCGTCTTTCCAAACTGTACCATCACATGATGTGCAACAGTTCGGTGTGGCATCTCTGAATACAGAGATTAGCATATTAGTTTTAAAATGTCGAAAAGGAGGACATTTTTGAGGAAGGACAGAACCTATAAAAGAAGGACAATTGGTCACCTTACCATTGCAAACCTGGTTCAAACTCAGTAAGCTGCTGATACTGTCTTCTTTATCTCCTTAAATTAAAGGCATTACTGATTTAAATCTTGTTTATAATGCACAGTCTAGAGAAGATTAATAAAGTATATGAATTGTGTATTTAGAGCAAATTGAGTTTGCATGTTCACTTGCAATGCATTTATTCCACACTACCATCACTGCACTTATTCGTTC